TGGAGATCACACATAGGCACTGCTCAAATTTACATGGATTTCCACAGGCTTCAGAACTCAGGGCACCTGCAGTGCAGAGCCATTCTGGGAGCCCTGCCCAGAGAGGGAGACGGCAACCTGGGCACTCTCACGCACCCCAAAGACAAGTTCTGCCACTGCAGCTGTAGGCAGCTATGGGACTGAGGAGCAGTCAGACCACAAACCTCACACCTTTTGACTTTTCTCCAGAGCTGTCTGCCTGGCTGTCCCCACAGAGAAGGGCATGCCAATACCGGTAGTCGGTCCACAGCGCAACTACCCCGCTGACCACCTGAGTGTTCCACAGGAAGTCTGGGACCAGCCCACCATTCCCTATCACAGCACTTAAATTCAGGGGCCTGAGGATAGGCCCGCTGGCCTGACCCTGTCCACCCAGAACCCAAACGCATTGATCAAGGATATAGGGAGAAGATTTGCAATCTGATCTCAGGTGGGAAAGGAGCCCCCACAGTCAGAATTGAGAGGAGTGTAGCGTGGGATCACACCTGAGCAGGGCACCCCTCTCTTTACAGGAATAAGGGAAGGGTGTGTCGGAGATTTTGGTTTCTAAAATGAAGGATGAAAGGCTTGCGGGTTTCTGTCCTAGATAAGGAGGCTTATGGCCTGGGGCAGCTTCTCCACTTGAATACAGACTGCTTGGGACTGGCCTAGCTGGTATGGCCTGCTGCCCGTGGCCAAACTCTGGAGGGAGAGCCACCAGGTCAGGGCAGTGGGACTGGAGCAGGTCCCACTATTGCCTGCTGAGCTGTGGATTTGATACCTGCACTCTTATGTTTATTGCAGCATAATTCACAATCACAAAGCTATGAAATCAACCTAAGTGCCCATCAATTAATGAGTACATAAAGAAAATGTGTGTACACACATACACACACACACACACACACACACACACACACACACCACGCAATACTACTCAGCCATAAAAAAGAATGACATGTCTTTTGCAGCTACTTGGATAGAACTAGAGGCCATTATCCTAAGTAAAGTAACTCAGGAACAGTAAATCAAGTACTACATATTCTCACTTGTAAGTGGGATCCAAGCAATGAGTCATACAGAGTGGAATAATGGACATTCGAGACTCAAAAGAGGGTAGGTTTGGAAAGGGGTGAGGGATGAAAAATTACCTATTGGGTACTATACAGGTGATGGTAAACTAAAAGCCCAGATTTCACCACTATACAACATATCCATGTAACAAAACTTCACTTGCACTCCCTAAGTCTATTGAAATAATAAATAATAGAAGATAAACACATAGCCAACAAGCACATGAAAAATGCTTGACACCATTAGAAATTAGGGAAACATAAATCAAAACCACAATGAGATACTACTTCACACATACTAGGATGGTGATAATAACAAGTGTTGGCATAGATGTGGAGAAATGTGAACCTTCATACACTGCTAGTAAGAAGATCAAATGGTGCAGCCAGTGTAGAAAACTGGCATTTCATCAAAAGGTTAAACGTGGAGTTACCATGTGACCCAGCAATTCCACTCCTAAGTATATACGTAAAAGAACCAAAAAACAGATGCCCAAATAAAACTTGTACATAAATGTTCACAGCAGTATTATTGACAACAGCCAAACAAAAGTGGAATCTACCCAAATGTCCATCAACTGATGAACAGATAAACAAAATGCGGATATTATCCACACAAGGGAATATTATTTGGTGGTGAAAAGGAAATGAGGTACTCATACATGCTACAATGTGGATCAACCTTGAAAACATTAAGCTAAGTGAGAGAAGACAGATATTGTATGATTCTGTCTTTATGAAATATCCAGAAATATTTTAACTAACATTCAGAATAGGCCAGTCCATAGGGACAGAAAATAGGTTACTAGTTACCACAGGATGGGGGGAATAACCATTTAGAGAGACTTACTTATACATACAGGACTTCTTTTCAAGGTTATGGAAATGTTTCAGAATTCAATGGAATAGTTGTGATGGTTACGCGACACTGTGAATATACTAAATGTCGCTGAATTGTACACTTTAAAAAGGTTAAACAGTGAATTTTATGTTATATGCATTTCACCACAATTTTTAAAAACTCTTAACCATTAAATTGTATGTGGGAAACTGTAGACTAACAGTTTACCACTATGAACAATAAATGCTTAGAATGATTAAAATGAATTAAAGTATTAATAATTAAACCAGTTATTTTATGAAACAAAAAATCCAATTATAGTAATGAGGTTATAAAAAGATTACTATTCATTTGTCAAAACCCACTAAATGCTGCATTGAAAACAATAAACTTAATACATGTAAACAATAAAATATATTAATAGGAACTGACCTATATAACTTTGGAAAATGATATTTTAACTAGAAATTATAAATCCACTGATAAAAGCAATCATACAAAAACACTGCTGTATTCTAGTTGGTAAATTTGTTTCTCACATAGGTATGTACTGACAATTCTGAAACTACTTTACATGAATAATGAGGAGGAACAGATAAGTAAATGGATGGTGGATGGCGGGAGCCATGATTCTCATTGTTGGAATGGCAAGTTACAGATTAATTAAAAAAAGAAGGCTAAATGAACCCTGTGGTACTGGATTAGAGTTGAAGACACCATTATGAAATCATATTTAACGTATACATATACACATACACACACAGATATGTGGATTAATACATATACACATATCATCTGTCTACTGAGAGGACCTAGTAGCAATGACACTTCAGTAACAACAAACACACCCAGTGTCCAGATCATGGTTTGTAAATGCCATTTTCTATAAAAAGAACCACGGCATCTTAGAGAAATGGCTGATTCTGGGGCCAGGAAAATATAACATGAACCTGGAGCATCTTGTAGTACCAGAAAGTAATGAAGTGCTCAAAACCCAAAACGATGGGGGGCATATCAAAAGGACACAGGAACTAAACTAAAAAGAGCTCCCTATGGCCAAAGTGAAATAATTTGAGGAATAAAATAAATAACACAGTATTATAGTCTAATATATAAACTAAAAATAGATGAGTCTATATTGATATAAATCAATGACTGGATAAATGGGTAAGAAGGATACATCTTTCTTAAAGAAAAAATCCAAATATTATGTGAAGATACTGCCCACTTTAGGAGATGGAGCTTAATTTCTGCCCTCCTCCCATTAGAGTAGGCCCGATTTAGTGACTGGCTTCCAATGAACAGAACAGGGACAGGTAAAAATAGCAACTGTATAGGAAAGAAACCTGGCAAACACTACCTTAACCAAGTGATGAAAGTTAACATCACCCGTGATGACATGTGGATATCATGTACTCCCTGATATGTGACAAAAAGGATACTTCACCTCTGGTATATTCTTTCAAAACCTATAACATCATTCTAATCACAAGAAAAACTATAAATTCAAATTAGTGAACACTCTACAGGATATCTACCTCAACAGTACTCCTCAAGACAGATGAGATAATGAAAAGTAAAGAGAGAGAAACAGTCACATACCAGAAGACACTGCAGATGTGACAGGTAAATGCAACCCCATGGTACTCTGGATGGAAAAACTGGTGAAATCCAGATAAAGTGTGGAGTTTAGTTAATAACGTGTCAATTTCTTAGTTTTGACAAATCTACCATGGCAATGTAAGATGTTAACAATGAGGGAACTGATCGGGCTCAGTGGCTCATGCCTGTAATCCTAGCACTTTGGGAGGCTGAGGTGGGAGGATCGCTTGAGCTCAGGAGTTTCAGACCAGCCTGAGCAACAGCGAGACTCTGTCTCTACCAAAAATAAAAAAAAATTAGCCGAATGTGGTGGTGTGCGCCTGTATTCCCAGCTACTTGGGAGGCTGAGGCAGGAGGATCACTTGGGCCTAGGAGTTTGAGGTTGCAGTGAGCTATGATGACACCACTACACTCTACCCAGGGTGACAGAGCAAGACAAAACAAAAGAAAAGAAAAGAAGAGGGAAAAGAAGAGAAAAGAAAAGGGAAAAGAGAACAAAAGAGAAGAAGAAAGAAAATTATTCCAAAATAAAACATTTTCTAAAATGTCACTAAATGATAAATGATAAAGGTACCCTTCATGTTAAGAGTTTTAATTTCTTTTTTTCTTCATTTTCTCATGAAAAAATAAGCACACTAAGCACCTGAAATTACTTTCAGTTGTTCCAAGGAAACCTTATAAAAACTCTGCTGCAATGATGTTAGTCACTAGCTTATAGCTCTCCAACAATAAACCAACCACAGGGTTTTTAGATACCTACTTTAATCATAAGAAAAAGATAAACTTATTTTTCGGCCTTAACTTTACAATAGCAAAAAGTTACTTTGGTATAAAGCCTCAATAATGTCTTGAAGTAATATATGACAAGATAACATTTGAAGAAAAAATTTGTGCACACAATAATCTTAAATTAAAAAAAATAATTTTAGTTTTATAGATAGTGCAACTTGTTGCTTTTCCAAGTGGCAAATAAGAATGAAATATTTGGCTTTCACATCAGATTACTGTCATGTACGAATTGACAGTATTGCAAATATTAACCATAATGATGGCCCTTAAAAGGACAAGAGAAGCAAGCAGCAATTCTTCTAATGACATGAAGTTGGAAAGAGACTTAAGAATTGTTTTCAGAGTATGGACAGACCTCTTACCACCTAATATTTACAAAGTTGGAAGAATCTTCAATTATGACACGGGCATCTGATGCATTTTTAATTGTTTACAAGGTATCCCCTAAAAACCCCAAACACTTCTAGACTCAGTAAATAAATTCTGAACAGCTGGCAACATTAAAAGTGATTTTATCTCACTGAAATACTAAAAATTTTAAAAAGGCAAAAACCTGAAGGATAAACAAAATAAAGACCAGCTACTCAGTAGTTGCCGAATTAGTATTTGTTAAATAAAATATAAACACGTTTTTAATTCAATTTACTTCTTTATGTCAGTGCCTGTTAATACCTTACCGGGATCAACCAAAGCTTTGTTAAATATTTCTTTAAGTTTCCGACTCTTCACATTCCTTCCTTGAGCAAGATTTCTGTACATCTCATAGCCTATGATCATAACACCACCATCTTCTTGCCACCTCTGCAGCATGTAGCTTCTCTCCTGTGGACGTTTCACAGTTGCTAATTCAGAGACCTTGGTGGGAAAATAAGGATTTTTAAAAGTAGCTATTAAAAATGTATGAGTACTAAATATTCCCATTGAAATACACATTATTGGTAATTAAAAATCTTTCTTACTATATCAATTCCATACGATTATTTTAACAGAAAACATTTAAAATATGATACCTCAAGCTTCTCATCATCTTTTAATCCCTCTTGCCACTTCTCAAATTCATTCATCCAGTTCAAAGCAGTATTAAGAGGACAAACCACTAAAGCTGTGCTGAAATCCAATTTGTCACACAAAAGAACTGTATGAAGAAAACTTACCACCTACAAAAAAAAGATTAAGTTGCCATCTTCATTTCAATATCCAAAAAAACTAATAAACCAAGCAGCCTTACATCTTAATAGGTTTGTTTTGCTTTAAACAATAAAAAACCAACCAAAAAGTCGTAATTTCCAAACGAGGCAAATTATAGGGAAAGAGATACCATAGTAAAATGAGAAAGTTTCACTAGATGATATATAATGCCCTTCCAATGCTAAAATCTCCATGATTCTAAGATCAACATGAATGATATGTCACCGCACTACAATAGCTACTAAGTTCCTGGTCTCCAGAGACTGTCCCTACAGCCTTTCAGAAAATACCACCACCCATTTAGAAGAGAATTGTGTTATACAGAACTTTTCCATTTGAACATGTTCTGACTCACTGAATCTATGATAATTATCTTATGGTTTAAAACTACATATGTACTCACTAATCTAACATTTCTGGTACAACTCTGGCCATTTAGAAATACAATTTTAACAGTGAAAAAATTTTTATTGTCTCATTCCTGTACCATCATAGACAGTTAAAAGTTATAAAGTTAATTTCCCACCTCAGTCTTTGCAGTTTTTATTGGTCTTACCTGTAACCCCCACTGCCTCACTTCATTAAGATCTCTACTCAAACATCACCTCCTACAAGATGCCTTCCCTAACTCAGTATCTTCCCTTAACACTTATTTTCTGAAAGTACATATTTCGTACTTTATTTGATTAGCAGCTCTCTCCTCTACTATAATATAAGCTTCTTGAAGAGAGATCTTGTTATTCTTGTTCAATGCTTTATCTTTAGCTCCTACAACTGTGCCTAAAACACAGTAGAATCCAATATATATCAATATATGCAGAAAAACAGGATACCTTCATATTCTTTAGTACTTACCTGTAAAGTCTTACCAAGGCCCATGCAGTGAGCAAGAATGCATCCTGAACCTGGAGATTTCTTTGTTTTCTTCACAGACTCACAGCAGCAATCCCACATAAACTGAACACCTAAAAATGACAGCTTCATTAAATTTAAAGGTCCAAGTTAAAAACCTTCCTTTATAAATATATCACAAACAACCAAAACTACTAAGAAATAGTGTTTAAAAACACAGAACTAAAAAATGTCTTAAATGTAAATGCGATGATTTTTCCGCTAAGGTAAACTAGAAATAAATAAACACAAACACACAACAGGGTGACTTGCCTTCATTCATCTTATCTAAGCTGTCAAAGCAGACATTCTCTATTCCCTGGCATGGGTCAAAGAGATATAAGAATACTCTAAAATAGAAACTTTATCTGAAGAGGGAATCAGCTTCCTATCAAATATATCTTCAAGTTTATTGAATCAATCAGGAAAAAAAACCTAGAAGATAATTTATCATTTCTCCATTTATTCAATACTAAGACTGAGCCAGAAAGGGGGCTGGCCACCTAAGAAGTAGGAACTATAGAACTTCCCTTATGAATTAATTCACATAAACACTCAAAACTGACTTAGTGATTCTACTCTAGCAAAGCAGAGGGTAGGGATAGTTTGGTGTCTTTCTAATATCAATGTAGGAATATTATTTAATAACACTTAAAAATGTAGAAAGAGCATTTCCTAAAGAAGGCTTTTAGCTAACTTGTACTTCTTCCTACCCCCTGCCTGCCCTTAGCCAACTACTACAGACTAGGTGAAATCAACCTGTAATATATACCAATTTGTAAATAGCACTTCCTTCCCCTTTTATAACACTCATTATGTTTGGAAATCAGCCCATTTTGTTTTTCCTCATTTGTTTATAAGTTTCACAAGGGCAGGGGGATTGTGTATTTTTGCTCACCAATGTACCTCCAGTGCCTAGCAGAATATGAGCAGACGTTCTGCCTCATACCCAACTGCAGGTAGAATTTAACTAAAAATTATCGATCATCTAACAGTTTCTTACCATCTACTTGATGGGGTTTCAATTTGATAACCATATTTCTATGAACCTGCACTAAAGGTTCTTTGGTTTCTTCGTCTTCATCCAAAACCAACTTGGTTGTTATTGGACATTTGGTGGGTGAAGCATCTTCAATTTCTATCACCTATAAGAGAGGGAGTTGTTGATAGTTAAGTTCATAGAAATCTTTGAAGCAACGGTCAGTTTTACCAAGGGAGACTTTCCAAAATATAGACACATTTACTACCACACCACACACCCAATACATTGGTTCAGTAAAGCCAGGATAGAGCCCAGGTTTACATCGAAATGAAAATCAAAAACCTCATAGGACTTTAAATCACTGTGCTAACGCCAGTAATTTAGCTCAATGATTTTCACCCTGGATATCTCAACACATATGTGTTAGGTAGAGTTGTGAAAAAAGAAGTGCTAAAAACTACTCTGTGCGACCACCATTAAAATTTGAATAGATATGTGGCTCCCAACCAGGGATAGTTCTACTCTTCTAGAGGACAACTGAAAATGTACAAGATCATCTATCGTTGTCACAATTGGTGACATTTGGTATTTAAGGTAGGAGGAAGGGAAGGTAAATATAAAACGTAATATAATGTGAAAGACAGTCTCAAACAAGAACTCTCCCACTTCAGATGTCAACATAACTCCTACTGAAAAACACTGTGAATGTTGTGAAAAGGAAAAAACATTTGGAAACACTGGTTTCAGAACCACAGGCTCAAAAATCATGACAGAAATGTAAAATACCTTCTAATTACAAAAGGAAAACCATTATGGACAGTTCCTTGTTTAAAATAAAACTGAATGAGACATGCATACATGGCCACAAGTATGTGTATGTCTATATATTTTTTGCTGTCTTATCCTAATTTCCATCTATTACATATTATACTCCATAACTGTATAAGGTAGGTATAAGTATTACTATTTTGCAGCTGAAAAAACCTGAGGGATAGAGAAGTTAAGCAACTTGCACAAGATCATACAACTATTAAGTATTGTAACACTAAGATTATACCCAGAAAGCTGGCGTCCACAGTCAATGCTCTTAACCAATATAAAATACTACTTTAATACAAGAAATAGAGAGGGAGGGGCAAGATGGCAGACAAGAAGCAACACGCTTGCCTCTCTCAAGTAGAGGAAAAATTGCAGGTGGATGCCCACATACGGACGGGCCTTCTTGGAAAGAGCATTTTAAAACACCAGAGAAGCAGGGGCACAGTCAAAGTGAAAGAGAAGGTGACAGGGCAACTCATTCTGCAAGACTGGAAGGGGATTTGAGCAGCAAAAGCATCACAGATGCCACCCGAGAATACCTGCAGGGAGTGCCTCTGCGGTACATGGGCAGGGGGAAATCCCTGACAGCCTTGGTTGCAGCCCCAACTGCAGCCCCAACCCTGAGACACACCCCCCACCCCGCCACAATGTCAACAGCCCCACACAGCTCTAGCTCCATGGTTCCCTGCTGCTATCCAACCACACAGCCTCACCCACATAGCTCCAGCCCTGCCTTAAAGACGCAGCTCTGGCTCTTGCTGCCTGGCCACCAGCCGCACCCCCCGCTTTGCCCTCTGAGGCTCTAACACTATTGCCAGGCCCTGCAGCTCTGCCCAAGGCTCCTCCACTGCTGAAGGCACTGTGGCTCCACCCCTGAGGCTCCAGCGCTGCCACTAGGCCCCTAGACCCAGCTCCAAATCTCCCTGCTGCTATCCAGCCCCATGACCCTGCCCTCAAGGCTCCCACTTGCCACTGCATTGTGGTCCAACACTCAGTCATGGCCCTGCTGGCCTCGAGCCGCCATTGCACCTGGATCCAGTTCAAACAAACGTCTACAGCCCGGACACCCACGATCACTGCCTTGATAGCCTCGCCCAGCTGCCACTGTCACATCGATGGAAAGACCCAGGCAGAGAAATCCCCAGCAACACCAGACTCAATGGAGAAGGACTTGCCCAGCCCCCAAGTCGAGCTTCCAACAGTGGCCTGGTGGACAAGCCACCACACCGCACAAAGCTCATCCAGAAGTGACTTGAACTGTGATAATCACAGGGGACAGGACAAAAACAAACAGCTGCATTACAGGCTCTCAGTGTGCCCATCCCTCCCCTGCCAGGTTAATCGTCCACAGTAAGACACAAAAGCACTATCTGGGGACCTCTCCTTCTTCTAAGTAGGAGACTTCCCAGCAAAGGAGAACAGGTTCATTGCAAACCTATCAGCCCTGAGCTGGGAGAAGAGGCTTCAGATGAGAAGAAACCAGAAAAAGAACTCTGGTAACATGAAAAACAATACAGTTTGACACCACCAAGGGATCACAATGGATCCACAGCAATGGACTCCAACCAAAAGGAAATTGTTTAAATGTCACAAATAGAACTGAGAATATGAATGATAAATAAGATGAATGGAAGTGAAAAAGTCTAAAACCAACATGAAGAAGCCAAAAAAATATTTCAGGATATCAATGAAAATAATGAGAAAGTCACCAGAGAGCTATATAACATAAGAAAGAATCTAAAAGAACTTAAAGAAATAAAAGAGTCATTTGGAGAATTTCAAAATACAGCAGAAAGCTTCAACAACAGGCTAAACCAAGGAGAAGAAAGAATCTCAGAGCTTGAAGACAAGGCTCGTGAACTGTCAGTCAAAGATACAGAAAAGAAAATAAAAAAATAATGAACAATCACTCAGAGAAATATGGGACTATGTCAAATGAAATAACATATGAATTATAGGTATCCCTAAGGGAGAACAAGAAAAAGCAAAATTCATGGAAAATCTATTTGAGGGAATTATTGAGGAAAATTTCCCTGGTATTGTCAGAGAGGCAGATATCCAGACACAAGACAGTCTTCAAATACTGAGAAGAATCGTATCAAATAGGACATCCCCAAGACACGTGGTCATCAACTTGGCCAAAGTCAAACAAAGGAGAAAATTCTACAAGCAGCAAGACGAAAGCAACAAATAACCTACAAGAGAACACCCATCAGGCTAACGAGCAGACTTCTCAGCTGAGACCTTATGAGCCAGAAGGGATTAGGGCCCCATTTTTAGTGATCATAAACAGAACAACTGCCACCCAAAAATTCTGTATCCTGCAAAAATAAGTTGCCTAAATGATGGAGAAATAAAGACTTTTCTAGACATACAAACACTGAGGAAATTTGTCAGTACCAGAGTGCCCGACAGGAAATATTCAGAACTGCATTATGCATGGAACAGCATAATAGATACCCATCAGTGTAAAAACAACCAAAAATTAAAGCTCACAGATCTTAAAAGACAACAGCACAAGAGGGAAAACAAAACAATAAGGTACCACCCAACATAATGAAGAGAACAGTAGCCTACATATGAATACTAATACTAACACTCAACGTGAACACTCTGAAAGCCCTAGTTAAAAGACATAGACTGGCTGAATGAGTGAAAAACACAACCAAAGTATCTGCTGTATCCACAAAACACATCTAACCCAAAAGGACTTGCAGAGAATCAAGGTGAAGGGATGGAAAAAAATATTCCATGCAAATACAAAACAAAAGCGAGCAGGTGCAGCCATTCTCCTATCAGATAAAAGAGACTTTAAATAAGCAATGGTAAAAAAAGAAAAGGGATGGTCATTATAATGGTAAAGGAAGTAATGTAACAAGTAAATATAACAATCCTAAATATATATGCAAATAACGCAGGAGCTCCCAGATTCATAAAGCAAATTCTACTACATCTAAGCAAAGAGATAAACAGTAGCATCATAATTTCCAGGGACTCCAATACCCCACTGACAGAACTGGACAGATGGATCGTCGAAGCATAAAATCAATCCAGAAACACTGGACCTAAATGGGACTCTACAACAGATGGACCTAACAGACATTTATATAACATTCTCCCCAAAATCTGCTGAATATACATTCTTCTCATCAGCACATGGGAAATTTTCCAAGACTGATCATATCTTAGGTGACAAAACATGTCTCAGCAAATTCAAAAAAACTGAAATTACGCCATGTATCTTCTCAGACCACAGTGGAATATAACTAGAAATCAATTCCAAGAGAAACACTCAGATCTACACAAAGTCATGGAAATTAACCTGCTGAACAATCCTTGGGTCAATGATGAAATTAAGATGGAAATCAAAAGATTGCTCAAACTCAACAACAAAGATGATGCAAGCTATCAGAATCTACAGGATACAGTAAAAGCAGTCACAAGGGGAAAATTCATAGCCTTAAATGCCTACATAAAGAAGACAGAAAGATAAAAAATTAACACCCTAATGTCACATCTCAAGGAACTAGTAAAAGAACAGCAAACCAAACCCAAAGCTAGTGGGAGAAAAGAAATAACATGCCAGAATTGTGGCTCATGCCTGTAACCCTAGCTCTTTGGGAGGCCAAGGTGGGAGGATCACTTGAGGCCATGAGTTCAAGACGACCCTGATCAAGAACAAGACCGCTTCTCTACAAAATTAGAAAAATCAGCTGCTGTGGTGGCACGTGCCTGTAGTCCTAGCTACACAGGAGGCTGAGGCAGGAGGATCACAAGAGCCCAGGAGTTTGAGGTTATAGAGAGCTATGATGACGCCACTGCACTCTACTCTGGGGGATAAAGCCAAGGCCCTGTCTCAAGAAAACAACAACAACAAAAAATCAAATAACAAAGCTCAGAGCAGAACTAAATAAAATGGAAAACAAAAAAATAATACAAAGGATCAATGAAACAAAAAGTTGGTTCTTTGAAAAGATAAATAAAATCAGACCTCTAGCTAGTTTGACCAGAAATTGAAAAGAAAGGATCCAAATAGGCTCAATCAGAAATGAAAAAGGAGATATCACAACTGATATCACAGAAATAGAAAATATCATCCATAAATACTATAAAAATCTTTACACACTTCAACTAGAAAACATAGAGGAAATGGATAAATTCCTGGAAATACAAAATCTCCTAAGATTCAAATTAGGAAGAAATTGAAATCTTGAACAGACCAATAACTGGAAGTGAGAATGAAGCAGCAATGAAAAATTTCCCAACAAAATAAAAACCCCAGACCAGACGGATTCACAGCCAAATTCTACTGGATTCACAGCAAAATTCTACCAGACCTACAAAGAAGTAGTAGAACCTATCCTACAGAAATTATGCCATAACACTGAGAAGGAGGGAATCCTCCCTAACCCATTCAATGAAGCCAGTATCACCTTGATACCAAAGCCACGAAAGGACACAACAAATAAAACTACAGATTGATACCCCTTATGAATACAGATACAAAAATCCTCAACAAAATACAAGCAAACTGAATTCAACATCACATCAAAAAGATAATTCACCATGATAAAGTGATGTGAGAAACCCAAACTAAACCCTAGCTAGAGAACAGAAGGAAAAAATACAGATTAGAGCAGAGATGAATAAAATAGTTCATGAATAGATAAAACAGATATATAATAAAGCAAACACAGAAAAATGTTAAGAAATGAAGAAGCCAGGTGGTAGGTACATTAGTGTTCATTATTACAGTTCTTTCTGTATATTTACAAATTTTCATAATAAAATTGGGGAAAAAATAAAAGTACTGGAGAAAAAGATGAGAAAAGATATACATGTATTATTCAAAAACAAATGTATACACTTAAGATTTGTGCATTTCACTGGAAGTAAATTTTACATAAAATGGAAAACATGTAAAGAAATATTAAACTCCAGCTAATGATATTCATGCTAAAGCATTTGGGTTAAATGAAATGTCTGCAATTTACTTTGAAATGCATAAAAAATGTACTGATGTACAGAAATTGGTAGAAAAATAGGAATGTAATAAAGCAAATATAGTAAAATATTAATGGAAAAATCTAGAAAGTGATTTCATGGTAAATCACTGAAATTCTTATAATCTTGCTGCATGTTTGAAACTTTTCATAAGATGTTGGAAAAGAAATATGGTGTGGCTACATTATTATCATATGAAGTAGACTTCAGATAAAGGAAAATTACCAGACGCACAGAAAGACATTACATGTTGTTAATGGACGAATTCACCAGAAAGACGTAACAATCCCAAATGTACATGTACCTAACAAAAGAACTTCAAAACACACGAAGCAAAACCTGTAAGAACTGCAAGGAGAAAGAAATACATCAACAATTATAGTTGGAGACCTCAACACTCTCCTAATTAGACAGAATACCATTAAAAACATAGAAGAACTGAATATAATCAACCAACAACACAACCTAATTAAAATTTATAGAATATTTCACCCAAAAACAGCGGAATATAAACATGGAACACCCACCAAGCCAGACCATCTTCTGGCTAATAGGAAATTAAAAAAAGATTATGAACACAGTAAAAACGAACACAAAATACTAAAAGGTGTAAGATGTAGTGTTTAAGCGGTATGTACAGTCGCAAATTTTACACCTTTAAATGTATATATTAAAGAAGGAAGATCCAAAATCCACTTTCAGTAGCTAGAAAAAGAAGAGCAAATTAAACGCAAAGAAGGATGAACATAAACAAAACAAGAATGGAAATCAATGAAATAGAAAGATCAAACAACAGAGAATATCGGTGAAACCCAAAGCTGGTATTTTTGAAAAGATAGTAAAATTGCTAAACCTCTAAACACACTTATCAAGAAAAAAAGATATACAAATTACATAAAGCAGAAATGAAAGATGGGACATCATGGCAGAGCCTACAAACAAAGGATAATGAGGGACTATTATAAACAAATTTATATGAATAAATTTGACTACTTAAATGATAGACAGATTCCTTGACACACTGCCACACTAGGAAACTAATTTTTTTCCTTTGGGCCATAGTGTTTTATTATGACAATAAGAATAAAAATTTCGAAAACAAAACGATCCTTTCTAATTTAATGAAAAATTTGTTATTTTTTATTGTTTCTTGTGTGTGAGTTATATGCAACTTGAAAAGTAGTTCACACACGGCTCCCAAGGTGAAGAGACGTGTGAGTTACATATGCTTCGTGAGGCCCTGGACTCAAAACTAGCATGAGTTAAATACAACTCACATAGCAGTTAATGTGTTAAAGACAAAATTTAGCAAAACAGACCTAAGAAAGAAAAGATCAAAACAGTCCTACATGTATTACAGAAATAGAATCTATTTTTTAAAAAAACGAAAACCCCAGGCCCATTGCTTCACTGGAGCACTCTATCAAAAATATAATTTTTATCTTACAAATATTCTTTAAGAAGACAAAGGAGAAAAAAATTACTTAATAGGTACAATGTGTACTCTTCAGATAATGGTTACACTGTAAGTCCAGACTTTACAACTATGCACTATATCCATGTAACAAAACTATACCTATACCCTCTAAATCTATGAAAATAAAAATAAATAAATAAAAAGATGACAAAGGAGATGGGAAGACTTCCTATTCACTTTATATGAAAACAGTATTATTCTGATACCAAAAGCAGACAATGGCATTAGAAGAAAAAGAAATCTAGCCTTCCTGAGGAAGAACAGTGGCAAGGCAGAAAAGAAAAGGAAAAAAAAAGAAAGAAAGAAAGAAAAGAAATCTAGCCTTCCTACTTAACACTGAGGTAAAAATCCTATTGAAATATTAGCAAATGTAAAACAACAATATATAAAAGGACTAATATACCATAATCAAACAAGATTTATTCTAGGAATGCAAGACTGATTTTCTAGGTCACTCCAATAGATGCATTAAAAAGTATTTGAAGAAATTCAGCATCTATTTATAATTTAAAAACAGAAGTAAATGATAGACTACAAAGTAATCAGCAAAATGATTTTTCTTTACATACAACATGAATGTACATGTAAACATCCTAAAGAATTTACCAAAAACACTATTAGAACTATTAAGTAAATTTAGCAAGGTCTTAGGACACAAGGTCATTATGCCAAAATTACTTGAAATTGCATTTCCAGTAACATCAAACAAAGTGATAAATTTAACAAAATATGTACTAGACCTATACAATGAAAACTACAAAACATTGCAAAGAAAAATGAAAGGAGATCTAAATAGAGAGGTACACTATATTCATGCAACAGAAGAGAAAACATTGTTAAGATATCACTTCTGATCAACCAACCTAAAGATCCAACACAATCCCAATAAAAGTTCCACAAGGACTTCTGTAAAACTCAAAAACATAATACTAAAATTTATATGGAAACACAAAGAACTGAGAACACCCAAAATAATTCTGAAAAAGTGGAACAAAGTTGAAGCAGTTAAACCACAAAAAAAGAGACAACCAGACTTAAAGTACCCTTAGTGAGACTGAATCAATCTAAGTCTGATCAGGCCTCTAGATCCTACCACCAGTTTTCAGGAAATACAGGCACCAATGAAACTACATCACAGGGATATAAACAGCAAAACTCCGAGTACAGGAAATTCTACACAAATAATCTGGTTTCTAAAACAAATGAACTGTAAGAATGGGAGAAAAAACAGAAAGAACAAAAGGAAAACTATAGATTAAAATGGATAACAGATATAGCATCCAAACGCAACAGAATATGTACCTGGACCTTGTTAGAATCCTGATTCACGCCAACTGTTTTAAGAAACATTCCTCAGAATGTTTCTGAGGAAATAAGGGAATTATTTGTAATAATAGTACTGTAGTAATGTTTAAAAGGTCCTTATCTCCTAACAATACATTCTCAACTATTTATAGACGAATATGATTTTTCGGATTTCTTTCAAAATAGTCTGAAGGTAAGGGAATAGATGAAACAAAACTAGCCCTATGTTAGCAACTGTTGAAGTTAGGTTAACAGATACAGGGAAGTTTATTATACTATTCTTTCCACCTGTTATTTAAAGCTTTTTATAATGTAAAGTTCATTAAATAACTGAAATCCTTTAAGGATTTAAGAAATAATTTTGAAACACTTTTCTACGCCAAACACACCACAATCATTTTGGTGACGAAAGGATCTCAAATCTTTCCATGTACTTAATTAAATTAATATAGCCTAAACAAGGGTTTTCAAGTTGCATAGAATACTGCCAATAGGAAAGCGCAACTATAACTAGAAATCTGCGCTCTACTCCTGCAATACTGAAATATATCTATGAAAGTTATATCTCAGATTTTAAAAATAATAGAAATAATCTGGTTACCTCTCTCAATTTTTCTCGTTCACGCTCCCTCTCAGCAATACGTTTTCGCCTCTCTTCCTCTTCCTTAAGAGCATTTTGTGTTTCTGTTCTTAGTTTGTCATCTTTAAGAATCTTTCGAATTTTTTTTCTGCCTTTTCCAGGAGACTTGGAATCATCATTTTCATCTTCTTCCTCCTCTTCCTCCTCCTCCTCCTCTTCTTTTTCTTCTTCTTCTTCAGAATTACTCTAGAAAATTTAAATAATTACAGGTAAACAGTATAAAGTTGTTTAATTTATCCATTTCATATTTCACTAACATACCAAGAAAAGGCAGAAGAAAGCATCCTCAAAACCTTTAGAATTATTTACCAATAAAGAACAGTGTTAAAAAACCAACCCAATTAAAGAAGGGCTACGGACTGGAACAGACATTTCTCAAAAGATGATTTACAAATGGCTAATAAACACATAAAAAGATGCAGAACATCACTAGTCATCAGGTAAAGGCAAATCAAAACCACAACAAGGCCGGGCGCAGTGGCTCATGCCTGCAATCCTAGCACTCTGGGAGGCCAAGGTGGGTGGATTGCTCAAGGTCAGGAGTTCGAGACCAGGCCTAGGTGGGTGGATTGCTCAAGGTCAGGAGTTCAAGAGCAAGACTCCATCTCTACTAAAAAAAAA